TAACCTTCGAGATCTCCCTTAATCTCGGAAGAAGTTAAATGTGATTGTGCTGACTGTTTTATTTTTAGCTGAAAAAATTAACAGATAAAAGCTATTTTTTAAGTCAGCCAGTCTGCATTTTTCCCACGCGTGAAAAATTTGCATACTAGAAAAACAAGCAACGGAAGTAATTTTGGTTGGATGATTCTGCAAACGTCAATCAAAAAAAGTGGGCGGCAGACGTTTCGTAAAAGGTTTGTATCAGGCTCTCTTTTCGTTTCGCCATGCCCGCCGGACTGTTATTTACAAAGCGAAACGAAAATAGAGCCTGATCTCAGGTAACGCGGCTCGCGGCTTTGCCGCTCGCGTGCTTAGGTTTCGCGTGCAGTAAGTTAAATTGCAAAGAAAAATAAGAGACTGCTCGCAGTCTAGCTCCCACCATAAACCGTAGCACCGTTGATTTCATCTCTGACACTTGCCGGCATTCACAACAAGTCTCCTCTTGTAAGCCTAAACGATGCTTTCTTTCCAGTGGTGCTGGAATGATGTCTTACAGTTATAATCTACTGGTAGAATGTATTTAACTCCAGTTGCTAATTTTCGCTACTTTTTTTTTTCAAGACATTTATTACTCTTTTACTTTTCGCTACCTGATCATTTTTCTCATTAGAATGGAAAATAAACAGATTTGTAGGAAGATAATTAAAGACTTGCATGGAAAAAAGATTCAAGGTAAGAAAGGTACCTCGTCAACTGTAGCAGTATTCATTTAGCGATTATTGAATGAGACTTAGAATAATCTGAACCTCCGAGATCCGCATTATACTTGAGATCAGTCCGTCCGTCCGTCCGTCTGGTCGTTTTATCCAGTTCATCTGTCCATGCGTCCGCTCCATGTGTGCGCGTGTCTGTCCTTTTGTCCTTTTAATCCATGACTTTGGTGCATCTGTCCGTCCATCCAATCCGTTTGATCCGTCCTTCCGGTCTGTTTGGTCTGTCTGTCCCTCCGGTTCGTCCGTCCGTCCGTCCATCCAGTCTGTTTGGCCGTCCGCACGGTCCTTCTTTCCAGTTCATCAGTCCGTTCGTCAGGTTGTCCGTCCGTCCGGTCCGTTCATCCAGTTCGTCCGTTTGTCGGTCCATCCAGTTTGTCCGTCGGTCCTTTTTTTCCGTCCGTAGATACATGTATATCCAGTTCGTGTGGTTTCGTCCGGTTGGTCAGTTTGATCCGTCCCGTTTGTGTGATTTGTCCGTCTGTTTGTCTGTCCATCCGTTCGTCCAAGCATGGGTGATAGTTATGTTGTAAAATGAAGAAATTAATTTGGCACTCATACTGATGAGTTATTTACTAAGCATTATTTTGATTGGTTGACGTGGAATGAAAAACTGACAGACTTTTTTGCTTACTTTTTGCAGGAAGTGTCGAATCACTTGTTGTAAATTTTGCTGATCTGCGACAGCAAAGCTATGGTACGATAAACAGTACTGCGATTCAACAATACTTTATATACTAAACCTGCGGCTTCTGCTCTTTAATTAATCTTTAGTTAAAACTTAAATACAATGTACTGGAGCAATATTTTTTATGAACTGGACCCAATATTTGTATCGGGCATGCACAAAAAGTCCTGAAGGTTTCTCCCATGTTTCCTGTAGAATGAACCTGTGTAAAATAAAGATTAGCAGTGTTCCCATCCATGGATGGCCACTTGATACAGGTTGCGTGCAAGTAAAAAAGCTTTACGCCTGTCGAATTGCTTGTAGCCTGTTGTAAGCAATGGTTTTCTTTTGACTTTGTCGGTAAGTTTATTGCCAGTATCTTGATCCCATGGATGATGTGGTCAAAAAAGGATTAGGTGCAAAAGTTTGTAATCACACTGGGAGAATACCAAGCACAACATTACTTAACAGCCAACCAACCATCTTTTCCTAACTGGATATTTTTTTTCTTAACAGACAGTTCTTGGCCAATTAATAGGCGAGAGGTGAGTAAGAGTTTTTTTAAAACGTAAGACACTTACCATTATGATCAGTCAGAAATGACCTACCTGACTAGTCCAGCAATAAAACGATATCCACTTTTAATCAAGTCTTTCCAGCTTGCTCAACCTGTTACTGAATAGTACACACAGCAGGGTTAGGGTTAAACTCTCGAAAACAATTGGTACAGCCAGTTATTGCTGATTTTTGATAAGTGCCCAAGGATCAGACTCGGGTTTAGATCTCCCCTTTCTAAACAAAAGAAGACTGAATTTTGATTCATTTACTTGGGCAACGACATCTGCAATTGTTTTCATCTCCTTTACTAATACACCCTTGCTTCCCATTTATTTAACGTTACATTGCAAGCACAGTGGCTAAATGCATTTTGCGTCATAGGGACAACCATTCTACGGTGAAGACTCCGACGATGACGAAAGCGGCGACAGAAATCCGTTCAGGACTGCTGAAGCACACCCATTTCTTGAAACCGCATTTAATCTGGGTATGATGGGTTTAAAGAAACTTGGAGAGAAACTGGACGATCCAAGCCACGACAGGGCCCAGTCTTATCGCGCTTATAATACCCATGTCTCTCCCGTCAAGAAACACTTGAGTGAATTTTGCAAGTTTGTACACTTTTACCCAGATATCTCTCTATTCTACTCGTGTGTTCATTCCACCTTCCCCAAGTCGGTAGTGGTACAGAAAATTGCAAGTTCCTTTTGGTAAAATTCCTAAAAATAGATAGTACGATGAAAAAGTACGGCCATTAAGTGTTATTTGAATGGTTACACAATGTGCTTTCTCCTGCATACTTAAAAGTAAGAGCTAAGTTACATATCTCTGCTGTAAGAAGATACTAGTTTTTACTCTCCATTGATAAGTACCCTTTCAATCCAAGTAGTGTGGTTGTTTCGCTTCATATTTAAATCTTGTAGCATGAAATCACTGCTACATCTAACAAATCAGCCCAAAGCAAGGCACAGCTACCTCTCAAACCTTGGGGGAAACAACAAACATAACTCATTTTGCAACTGTTTCGTTAGAAAGGCTGTCCACGAAGTCCTTTTTATTATTCACGATCAACAGTGGAGGAAGAAATTGCGCCATTTTTTTGGCGTCTTTGGAGGTCCTTTTGGAGGGAGGCATGGTGTTTGCCTAGGGTTGCGTCGAGAACTATTTTCCACAAATGCAGCAATATTTAGATTGGAGGCGCAGTTTTCCTAGAAATCTAAATTTTCTCTTTTAAAGTAACAAGCGGAATTACGGAGGTTTACCTGTTAATACATTTAACGGCCTTTTAACACCAAAAAGAGTCATTCAATCCCGAGTTACGAGCTAACATACCCGGTAGTTGTTGCTTCTCAGGGATTTTTTTCCTGAATAACGTTGCAAACCTTCAAGACTTTGTCCCGATGATTCAAGTCCTGTCCACTTTTATCCCACTTGTGCTTTGCAAAGAACACTTCTTGACATAGTTCATGTACTATTCCGGAATCGTTTTGCTACACTTAAATACGAGATTTTGTTGGATTTTAGCCCGTTCGAGGCGTTCAGATAGTAGAGCGCGGCGGTAAGTGGGGAGCGAGTTAATTTTTCTCCCGCGCTCTACTATCTGAACGCCTGGAACAGGCTAGTTGGATTTGGAATTAGTGGTTAATCCTGGTGATGCTGTCCCTTTAATAAAACGGCTCTTCAGATCGTTTGGTTAGCGCAATAACGCAACCCTCCTCCGTCTTCAACTTGATGTATTTGTTTAAGTCACTTTCGTTTTCCAAGTAACCCTTAAATTATGTCTTTTTGCAAGACTTGTATGTTATCTGGTGAACAAGAAGTGGTTGACGGGGGCATTAATAGTGGCGCCTGGGAACAGATCTTCAAAAACGGAGGACAGATCCTTAGGGAGTATTACTGTCAATTCAAGCAGATGTCAATTGGAAGATGGTAAGTTGTGTTACATATATTTGGTCAGCCTTTTACGCGGCAAAACACCCAACTCTTGTTTAACTGAATTACCTCGCTAACCTCAAAACGAAGCGGAATGTCGAGTAGAAATCAAAAGAAATATGTGTCCGTGTTGTCAGTCGCGTAATGCAATACCGTCGTTAAACGTCTTTTGACACCCCACTGATGCTCGTTAATATTCAACTATTTTACCTTAAAGATAGGCACTGAGCATTTAAGAGAGCCTCGCTCTACATGCTCTAGGAAATATTTTTTTTTTACCGTGCATTAGTTTTTTTTCCTTTTAATAACTTATTTCTCTTAAGGTACGTAAAAACGGGTGACAATAAACGTGCGACTTGTTTTGCAACAATGCTGCAAAAGAGTTGAATAGCGATGTTGCGCGTTTAACCACCAACATCAAACCTGTCTTGCAACAAATCAGGTTGTTAACAGGTATGAACGTGGGTGGTAAAACGCGCAACGTCGCTATTCAACTCGTTCTGCAGCAATGTTGCAAGACAAGTTGCACGTCTTTTGAGGTCCGTTTTTCCATATCTTTAGGCCCGGTTCAGACGACTTACGTCACAAGAGCCGAATGAAATTCAAATTCAGGGCGGCTGAGTTGATTCAAACGCCGATCTTTGTTCCATGCAGCCGAACTTAATTCAAAACGAGAAAAGTCAAAATGCGTTATAGATAGATTGACATCACTAAATTTATGCCTTAGTTCAGCTCATGTGAAATCAACGTTGGTCCACAGACATTATTCCCGGCTGAGCTAGGCACGAAGAACTGCATAGCCGATCCAAATTCAGTTACTCATTTCGAATTAATTCAGACGTCATATTGACGTACTTTCCATTGAATTCGATCCGGCTTATTTGAAGTACGGCGTCTAAATCAGGCCTTTCTCACGTTGTTTTCAGATCATTCACAGAGTGCATCTAAGGATTCTTGTGACAAATGCTTCCTTCAAGAGTTTGTTTTGTCCTTGATCAATAATGTCGACAATCCATTGTGGTTATTCGATGTGCTTCAAGAGGTACTTAAAAAAATGTCCTTTCAACATTTCTTAGTAGCTTTGCAAATTGGTGTACAGTCAACTCTTTTAACAGATACCTTCCACGGCACGGGTGACCTAGAGTTAGTCCCTCCTGTTCTATAGTCTTTTTAGGTGACACCAAAAGACTGACACTAAATGCCGATGTCCGTCTAAAAAGAGTTGAATGGAGAATTTTTATACAAGGCAGCATGCACAGAAGGGACTTTGAAAGAAAGGGTTGGGATGGGGATGGGAGTTTGGTGATCCGAACGATAAACAAGAACTATCGATATTGGCCTCTACTTTGAAACGAGCAAAGACGGAAGTAGTTAATGTAACTGTGACAGGAAGCAAGAAGCTACCAACGATTCGTTTCAGGTAATAATGAGATCAAGTGGCGTTAACTGTGTCCGGAAAACCCTGTAAGTAGCAGAGCAATATTCTATAAAAGAACAAGCAGAACTACTATTTTATTTATTTGTTTATGTAGCCATGCCCACACAACAAAACATTAAACAATTTAAAAAGAGTTTTCAGTTAAATTTCAAATTAGTATGACAAGGAATCCTAACGAAGCTAGGGGGTTACATTTATAGGCTCCCTTAAGCTAGATTACGAATTACCTGGCTTAGTAAAGAGTCTACAGGAACATAGAAGTTAAGTGTCAGATCCACGGACTACCAATGAGATAATCAGAGAATATTGCTTCTTAATGAATAATTGTTTTAGTATATACACGCGTAGTGATGTCAACAAAATCAGAAACGAAACCCTTAAAAAGGACGATTTAATTGACCGATAAATCATACAAAGTTAGATCTTTGCATAATTTTCAAACATGGCAATTCCAAGTTAATCACTTCGCAAACAAAAAAATGCACTTTATTTGAGTGTCAATGTATTTTCACGAAAGTACTAACTGGGGAAACTATTTTTACGTCTCCTAATGGAGACGGGACCGCCATTTTACGTGGTCATCCGAGCCACGCGAATGTCTAGCCGTTTGAAGGACAAAGGAAGTACCTTCATTTCTCAGTTATTTTAAGACCCTGAGTATTGGTCCGGCCCCGGGAATCGAACCCGCGACCTCCCGCTCTGCAGTCAAGCGCTCTACCGACTGAGCTAAACCTGCCGCGGTTATTGGGTTTAGCGTAATGGCTTTTTTCTGTTAACTCGCCAAGTTTCTTGCCAAAAAAGTTTGTTGTGTCGTTACTTCTCATGAAGTGCTGACTTGGCGGCTTTTAAACGGTTGTTCTCTAAAAAAAGAATGGGAAAAACAGCGAGTTCACACATTGTCCACTCGCTAGAAGGTGAATATGGTTGAATAGTCCGAGATAGTGAACCAACCAGATTGCTTAAATCACCAAGATCACTTAGTGTCTATATACTAAAGTTTTTCATGCACTTCTTCAATTACAACAAGACGCTACGGAGCGTGCACTTCGGCGTCGTGGTTGTGGAACTGATTAATTGTAAATGCGGAGGAATAGTAAGAAATGAAATATGGTAAGAGTAAGGTGTTAATTTGTGAAATTATGGGATTTGTCATGATATTCTGAAAAGAGCAACATCCAAGAGGCCTACTTGCCAAAAACTAGCATTTCGGGGCAAATTGTCTCTGAGATATTAGCCCAGTTATGCTCTGATGATTCCATACAAATCCTTCTAAATTTGACTTGGGTCTAAACCTTAAGACCTAACTCAAATAAGAGGTTACTGGCGGCGAATAACAAGTATAACAGAAAATACAGTGAAAAAAGAATTTTTTATTTTTCTTAGTCGCATCAGGCTTCAAAAACAGCATAGCAGTCTCATGCACTGATTAAAGATATGTAAGGCATGGGTAAGGAGTCAATTACGTTGAACATAGAATTGGCTAAAACTCAATGTTACGAGTTCGAATGTTTTGAGGATAATTATTCACTGACTATCAGCACGCAGGGATGTCGGATTAGCACAAGGAAGTTTAATACCATAGGAACATAGCCTTTACAGAGCTTTAAAACACAGCATTGACCAACACAAACTTGACTTGAACTTGAGTAAAACTAAACAGCCTCTACCAATAATAACAAACTCTCACTTGAACTTCAGATATCTTACGGCTTCCGCCAACTTGTAAACACAGAACTTGAAAATCGACCTTCGTCACACTTGACTGAACACAGCAGTCCAGCTCGTGGGAAAAAACTTAGTTCGTCAAAAGAACTCGCTTGGAACTTGTATACCGTTCGACATAAGGTTCTAGAAAATACTAAACAGGCGAATAGTAGTAAGTAGCTTTTCGACATATTTTATGATTTCAGTAACTGATGCAAATCTGCTGACTCATGCTGAGATGTAAACATGCCCTAATTAGTTATTCATGAATAATCCAAAAACGTAGAGAACGTTCGAGAAAGTCAACCAACGCATGAAGCAATTTTACTACGTAACACTCAACAAAGACAAAATGTCTTTGTGCAGCATTTTGTAACTTTAAATTCATCATAAAACAGTTCGAAAGGAAAAAACTACATTAAACTACATTAACATTGATGACGTTAGAGTCTTCTGTCTTTATCTGAATAAAATGCCGGGGATTCTTAATGAGTGAGGTCATATGCTATTTTTAACTGGTTTGACAAGTTTTCTAGTTACTTCTAGGCATTTGATTGGTTAATTAAGAGAAGTGTTATTGGGTAATTCATGCAGTCGAAGTAATAAACGCTTGCTCCCCTGTGGAATGTGGTGGTGGAGGGAAAACATTAGAAATGCGTTGGTGGTGGTGGTGGAGGAGGAGGACATTAAAAATATTTGACGAGCAGGGAAATTGTGGAAAAGGAGAAAGGAGGGAGGGGCTAGAAAGTAGATAGTTTGCCTTCGCCCTAATTAATATGCACGATTTGTGCGCCAAGAATCAGTGAATACATCCTCGGAGACCCAGGGGGCAGTCGGCCGGGTCGGGAGAAAAGGCGTGACGAAGGTTTTCAAGCGCGGGAGGAAAATAATAAAGCATACAAACCTTTTTTTGTGCTCAATCAGTAGCCATCATTCGCTTTACCGTTTGTAAATGGTCTGGTAAGAGTCAGCAGTTATTCCTTCGACAACATGAATCAACCAATGAGTCAACCAATAAAAAACCAAGACATTTATCAACCTAAAAGTTACTAGAAAACTTCTCAAACCGGTAAATCCCCTTGTGGTTGACGACGACAAAACAAGGAAACGAGGAACGAAGCTTCGAGGGGTGTGCCGCCGCAGGTTAAGTTAAGGACTATTTTACGGGTCGAAAACAAGAAAAACGCAGAGAACCAAAGGTGACGGTTAACGGTGATTTACTTGACCAAATACCACTAAAAGAGCAAATGAACAAAGTCGATTGACCGTAAACTGAAATAATATGGCAAAAAATCTTTATCAGTTTGGCTACCAGAAGATTCTTATACAAATTCTTATACAAACAACTCGTAATTAACAAAGTTAGCTTGAAAACGGTAATAAAACGAGCCTATGATGATTAGGTCGATAACATGACGGTAAAATCTATTGTTAGATAAACTTCAGCTAGACAATAATCTTAAAGGGACAGGTTCACGGTTAGGCGCATGCTCATTAATTAAATCACTTTTTTCCAATTTGTTATTAATTCTATCGGTAAATAATCCCACTTACATGTATCTCAGCGATCTCAGAGTGTATTTGAAAGTAGAAGCGTATTTCAGAAAAACCTGAACTAGGATGAAGGATTACTAAAATCGCACAAAAAATTAGCGGATTATGCCAACACTACCTACTGTTGACCGGAAAGTTTTTTTCCGTGGTTGATAATTTACAGCTATTTGCAAATATTTAAGTTGATCAGGTGTAAGTGACTGCCACGGGAGTGTGCAGTTTGGTTCTTTGACGACATTATGACATGGTCATATAGGCGAATCTTTGCTGACGTCATTGTTTACTTTTTTCCTCATTAGCATACGACTTAACTCATAGAAGCCGTGGCTGTATATATGAATTAAATGCAAAAGTCGAAAGAGCTGATAAAGTTGGGCAATTTGTGCAATTTTCAGCTCTTTGCGAGCAATATTCAAAGAAATATCAGCCACAAAAACTGCGAAATTGCTGTGTGGCAAAAAAGTTAATGAGCCATACATTCTCTGTAAAATTTCTAGTTTTTAGAAGAGAATTTCTCCGAAACCATTCGGTGTATTGGGCTCAAATATACAGAGATAACTGAAACTGTTATGCCCTTTCAATATTCAGAGTTTTTATTTTATTAGCGTCATCAGACAGTGATAAGCATATGTTAATGAGGCAAAAAGTGTAAACAAAGATTCGACTATTGCTTGCATAGACGATACACCATGTCTCGGCAGAAAAACAGCATTTTGATAAATGAGCATGCGCTGAACCAAACGTTAAGAACAAACCAGAACGATGTAACAACGCAAATCCTACTTGACTTTCTGCCCAAAAAGACGCTAACGCGCGCTTTTATATCCGCATGGGAACTCCGAAAATATCCCGTTACAAAACCAACAGGAAAAGGGTAAACAGTGTAACTACGCTAGTAACCAGGATCAAAGCACGAAAAATCACGAAATCAAAGAAAATTACTGTTCTTATCTTGTTCTTTACACTCCTGAAAATAGCAGATGATGTTATCCTAACGAGATCGTTAATGCATTCCACAGCAAATTAATAAGATCCCACCAAAAAAATAGGCTAATTCGATGTGCCTTTAATACTGGCGACATTATATTTTAATGGTCAAACGCTTTGCCTATCGACATAATACTTAGCATCTAATTTAAGCCACTTCTCTTATGACAGACACTGTTAAAACTCGGTCCCTACGTTACGCCCTAGAAAGGTATCCTAGAATCAAAGAAAACGACTGAAGAACGGCAGTGACAAGCCATAAACCGTCAATGCGCCAGGAAATAGAATATGATAGTTATCCTTAGTGTCTTGAGCTACTCTAAAATTGATGGGTTTGTGGAGGGAACTCGATGATTTTGCCGAACGAATTGCCACCTCTAAGGGGTACAGTTTTGTCTTTGAGACTACTTCAAATTCTGCAAACGAAGAATTAAGAAGCATACAGTTAGTACTGTTGGGAATCAAGATGCTAAATGTAATATTATATAAAGGATCAAAAGTAGGTTGAGGTTGATCGTCCGGGTGAACGTAGTCCTGAATTGGACTGTAGTTGTTCACAGTGACTGACGTTTCGATAACCTGTGCGGTAGTCATGTCCATAGTCAAAGTGAGTTGTATCACGTCAGTTGATGGTATTATACTCTCGTTATTGATCTAATTGGTCAATTACGTCGCGATGTTATTGGTTGTCTGTCAGTTAAGCCGTGATGTTATTGGCTATGACGACTCGTAATCAGTAATTGGTGCGTTTCGATCCGTCTATTGTCATAGTTAAGTAGTCGTTTATTGTTAGTCAAATTGTTAGTTCTCCAGTCGTTCTCTCCTAGTTAGTTTTGCTTGATCGCGTCAGTAAGTCATTTGTACGGCGCTGGAAACTGTTCGCTACGATTCAGTGGCGTTTGTTCTAAGTTAGTAAACCAGCTTTCTAAAGTAAGACGTTGATAGTAGTCTTTAGAATCGTTATACATGTCGCAGAGTGCCAGTCAATTTGATGTTTCGTCTGTAAATGGTGCTCAGCAATGTGATTGTTGACGTTACCATTCCTCGTCGCTCGTTTGTGTTCGGTCAGTCGCGTGCTTAGGTTTCTGCCGGTTTGACCAATATAAGAAGCCTGGCAGTCGCAGCATTTGGTCTTGTATACTGCTCCCTTTTTGTCCTCCGGTTTGTCTTTGTCCTTGACCTTAGTAAGCAGTCGTCGTAAAGTGGTTATCGGTTTGTGTGCAACACGTATATTGTAAGGTTGTAATATACGTGCAACATTTTCAGAGGTGCCTCTGATGTACGGTTTAGTCGCTGTCGTAACAGGGCCAGCGTTGGTCTGAGTGTTGGAATCAGTGTTACTGTGAGTGTTCCGTCTAACAAAGTCCGTGTTGTAATTGTTCTTACTAAAAACGTCAAGATAATCAGTCTCGTCTTGTAGGCTGTCAGGTGAGTCGCAAACTAGTTGCGCCCTTCTCGTCAGAGTCCGGATAGAAGTAGCCGCGCGAGAAGGCGGGTTGTACGAAGACTGGTTTAGTAATCGGTCGGTATGTGTCGGTTTTCTGTAAATAGTCGTGATCAGTTTGTTGTTTCGCGAGTGACCAAGCAGTCTAGAAAAAGTATCTTACCATTTTCTTCGATCTCCTTGGTGAACTGTATGTCCGCGTTCTGTCTGTTAAGGTGTCCGTGAAAATCGTCGATTCCGTCTTTGTGTACGGCGGTAAATGTGTCAACGTAACGTAACCAAAGAGCTATAGTTCGCGTGTAGGTAGCTAGGGCTTGTTCCTCGATGTTTTGCATGACAATTTCTGCCACAACAACAGAAACTGGAGAGCCCATAGCTGTACCGTGTAACTGTAGTGTTTGCCGTTATACTGTTTGACTTTGATGTACTTTCAGACGACCGACAGACGACATACGACCAATAACATCGCGACTTATTTGACCAATCAGATCAATAACCAGAGTATAATACCATCAACTGACGTGATACAACTCACTTTGACTCTGAAGATGACTACCGCACAAGTTGTCGAAACGTCAGTCACTGTCAACAACAACAGTCTTATTCAGGACTACGTTGACCCGGACGATCGAACTCAACCTACTTTTGAAATGACTCCCGGGTTCAAACTTTTCACAGTTATATAAAGTATGTTGTCATAATTCCGAGGGTATTATTTTTGAGGAGGCAGAGAGACGAGAGTATAGAACCAGTAGGTCTTAATTGGGGCCACTGAAATGGAACAGTAGGCTATTATATCATAATACTAACCTCCTGTTCCACCAGTTCGCAACAATTGAAAGTTGCATTAATGCTGATTACAAAATGATCCTCCTTCAGCTGGGAGACCAACTGTGCACCGCCATCCCAGGCAGCGATCTTGCAACAGCGCAGGAAAGACACAACTTCCAGATCAAAAGCGCTTGCCAGAGCAATCCTCATTTAAACCTTCTGCAGCAAAAGTAAGTCATCTGTCTTAAATCGCTCCAAGAATCGATCGCGCCTTGGAACATATGTTATTTCCCTCCACTCCTTTAGTGCCTGCCCACCCCTTTACATTCCACCTCTCTTTTGTCTCATTTCCAGTTGGCCTTTCTTTTTTCTCCTTCACCTCTTAACTGGCGGGAACTGGAAAACTTTGGTATTTAAACTGAAATTGCATGCGTTTAGTGTCTTTTATTTTCCCTGGAAAATGACTGTTTCGTTCAACACTGAACAATAAGAGTGCAGTTTTTTTTTCGGTTTTCCGTCTACTCTGCCTTGATTGCCGCTAGTTAGCGTTAGTGAAGATGGACGATGATTACCACTAGAAAGTACTTTTTTTCTTGTCTATTTTAGGGACTTGGACGCGTTCTCTAAACTTCTTCTGGGCCCGGGAATGTCTGACTTGGTATCAAAGGTCACTCGTACACACGACCGACGCAAACTTGAGCCATCAGAAATCCTTAACGAGTTCCGTTACGGCATAATTGCGAACACTGAGCTACAGGAAGTGCTGCAAGCTGCCAAAAGAGCCTTTAGTATCTCGGACTCCAGCGGAGCCATGTTTAAGAACTTGACAGATGAGATGGCGAATAAGCATCCAATCCTTGAGCAGCTGCTGGAGCGAGTGTTAAAGGACGACTGGACTGGACTGGATAAAGGGTGGACGATTGTAACACATAGACGTAAAAAGAAATTGTGGCAATTGAACTAGAGAAAGAAAAGGTCTGAGCCTTAAAGAATTGAAAAAAAAAAAGAACATGTTACCCTAGTTTCCGGGGAGTTCGATTAGATAATTAGTTGTTGCTTGAAAAAGAAGAGTACTCTGAGTACGAAGAGTGTGAAAACTGTATGGTAGAAGGTAGGAAGACCAAGACCATTCAGAGAGTTGACTAGTGCAGAACCCTACTGTTAGATACGTATAATAGCTTTGCTCTAAAAAAATTCTTTAAACAGTACATTCGCCAAGCAACTTTTCTGCCATTGCAGGTGTTGAAGTAAGCGATCATCTAAAATCTTCACTGAAACAGAGTGCATAAAATGAGGGAGGCAGGTTGTGTGCACTAGGGTGGATTTTCACTGCCGCGTAATTTTTTCCGTGAGTACGCACGTAAATTTTACGCGCGTACATAAAATAGAGGCAATGTTTCGAAGGTCACCCGTAAACGTAAAAGTTGAACCTCGCTCATTTTTTACGTTTACGCGTGGCCTTTCGTAAAATTTACGTGCTTACCCTCGTAAAAGTTACAGGACAGTGGAAATCCACCTTTTGGGAAAATGCTGTGAGCACCAAAACTACACTAGACGTATTAAAAAATACAAGGGCTTTATAAGAAAACAAAAGCTAAATCCTGGATTACCAAAATACCCTTGTAGTGCTCCGCATTTCCGCCGTTCATGACGGAGATTTATTTGTAAAGGGTATATTTGCAAGTACTGTCATGAAAAATGATGTTTAAGTTCATTAATTACTTCAATGGTGTTCACTAGGTTTCTTTAGACTTTCAGGTTTCTAAAATATATTTTACGGTTCCTCGGGTTATGGGTTAAGGTATCCTGATCGTACTCATCCACTCAAAATCTTTTAGTATAGGAAGTTTATTGATTGTGAATGATGCGCGCGATGTAAGGTAATGTTGAATTATTCGCATTAACGAAGAAAAATGTGTTAGTCTTGAGATTGTCCGGGAAAAGCCGAAGCTGTAGTCTGGGTTTTGCGGAAGATTACTTGTATAACGGCGATTAGCAAGATAATCTTTACGTTCATAAGTACGCAGTCTGTAAGTATTGTGGTTGGGGAGAAATCACTGGACGAAATTGGATTTGTGCAAATTTGGCATGTGCCATCATTGCCTGTCAGTTTGCACATTTTCCTACATACTTGCCATGAGCAAAATACCCAGGAGCGTATGGTTTAAGCCATAACGTTTGGGAATAGCACATTTCCTCGGTTTGCATTCCTTTTGACCAATCTAAATCCGGATTGTGCGATCCGAAATTTGATTTTTCGTTCCAGTAAAGACTAAACCAATCTGAACGATCCACCTCCGGACTTGGATCGTTCAGATTGGTATCTCAATGTGGTTTCAGTTTTTTATTCCATTTAACAAAACTGCTTTTCGATCGCAAGAACGTGCTCGTTTATCGATAAACACGGCGGATCAAGGTTAGTTCGGGCAAAAATTATTTACACTCCTCCGTTGTTCTATGCCCCTAAAGGACTGTAGTATATTCCCCTGTAACTCTAAATCCGTAAGGAAGCGAAAACGCTTGGATTTTCTCACCGCACAACTATAGTGTCCAATGTGTGAATGTTTAGAGCGCGCCTCTCAGCACTTGAGAATTCGTAATTGTCTTCTGAATTTTCTTGAATTAAATTCCAGGTACATTTAAGTTGACGATTCCCAGTATAAACCACCACTAGTTAAAGAGCAACTTCTCTTTCCATTCGTCGAGGAGAACACGCTTAATTTAGCGGAAGAAATGATAAGCGATGTGTTGAAATTGAGAAGAAGATCAGAGCAGCAGGGAGTGACTGTGTGGATAAATCTTATTTCAGATTTTTGTTCCAGCCAGCACAAAAATCCAAACAATCTGGATTATCTAAATCCGAAAAACGTTTGGCTTAAAGGAATGCAACCTAGGAGAATGTGAACAGGTGAACACGGTGACACAGTATATTAAGTTGGTAAGATAAACATGTTCAGTTTCTCTTAACCATCCAGATACCATGCTGTTTACAGGGACGATAGGGTGACTTAAGGAGGTCGCCGAGTTTGATTTGCCAAGAATTGAGTTATGAACTCAGACGACCAGTTCTTAACGCTACTTGTAATCGTATCCTACAAAAGCTGTGTCATAACACTTTCTTATGAGCAACATTAAACCCGTCCACGAGCCGAAACCTTACTAAAAGCGTAACAATGGACGTGACTCTTGAGGCATCTTTAAAGCTAAGATCATTGAACCTTCAGGCGATCTTTCATGTGTTTTGTTTGTTTTTCTGTTAAACTTATCAATATATTTGGTAGTCACACCACCCCATGCACGTCATGACTTTTGATCATTGTTTTACTAGGTATATTTTTGTACATTCGTCTAACTAAACAATTAGACGAGGTTGAGCAAAATATCGTGATTTTTCAGTGGCGAGCAGATCAATTATTTGCCAAAGCCGAAGGCTGGGGCAAAGCTGGTTAAATCACCATATTTAGCGATAACCGAGTTCAATAATTGTTTTATCATTTGGTCACTAAATTTGTTTTTTTCAATGAATATTTTTGGGAAGCTGCCATTTTCACGAAAGAGCAATCGCATTCTCGTCCCCAGAGTCCGTGTTTCTTGGTCACCGGTTCGTTACAAATTAAGCCGAGTGGCTCTGGGGACGAGAATGAAGCGATCGCAAGAAGGAGGAAAGAGTGGTTTCATTTACGCATAAGCAGAATATTATTTGCAGCCCAACACAGATGGACGACATTGCACATGAGCAGACCATTATTTGTAGGCAGTTATTTGCAGGTCACGTGTTGGGCTCTCTGCCAATGAAAAGGAAGAAAAAGTTGCATCGAATGATAATAGAGTTTATTTTCGCGGGTATAAAATAATATGTTTTGGTCCGACTCCGACTCATTTTAGCCCGCTGTTACTATTATCATTACTTTGGTGGGCAAATTACAGGACAATCTGAATGAAATCACGCGAGCATCATGTTGAATCATAATGGCTTTTATTTTTGCCTAAAACTGGCTAGAAATGACAATATCGTGCCATTTGAGTTTTTAAAAATTACAATAGATATAAAAGCTTATTTGTAAATGTTAACATTAAATGTACATGACTTTGTGTACAAATGTTAAACTGACAGTTTGGCATAATTGGTTGAACTAAGTGCGTTTGAAGCCGCAAAACTTTTTACATAATAATGATAAGTCTGATTTATTGATAAAATCGTCGCGCTTAGAAATAAGCGAATTGCGAGATTATTTTACAAAGATATAGATATTAATTTAAAAAAATTCAATTTAAACTAATTACATCGTGTTCAAAATGGACTGGGCCTTACAATTATAAGAAGATATAATACAATAAATTAGATAAGAAACTAGAAATATATATCAAGTTATAGATTGAATTCCCATAAGTTCCTAAATTACATGCCATGAGCATAAAGGCACATCGCTGGAAAAAAGCTTCGTTTAAAGCGTTCAGTTTTGCAACTTATAAGGGATGATCTGTCTTTGTTGCGAAGGGAGCGACCGTGCGCCTGCGACCGAGTCGGTGGAACAAGATGGCGAATACGGGACCCGGGCTCTTTTATCTTTGTAAACAATTTGCTACACAACTCCATTCTTCTTGTGAGAAGTGATACACACCCAAGTTTAGCTATGGCCTCTTGGTAGTGCAGTGCAGGAAAGATGATGCGCAGCGCCCGTTTCTGCACTCGCTCGATGCTATCTGATAGTTTGACGGGGAGGGCATTATGCCACACAGGACAACAGTGTTCAAGGACAGACCTAATGAGCGCAAAATAAACCTTAAGTAGGTCGGCAGGTGGTACTCCGCCGCTTTTGAGGACACGTAGAGTATGCAGCCTTTTTGACGCCTTAGCAACAACCTCATTAATGTGCAAATCTCATTTGAGATTACTTTGGATTGTAACGCCCAATACTTTATGAGCATCGACTGACTCAAGGGCCTTAGTGTCTATGGCTAAGGCTGATGGGAGATGGTCCACGACTCTACGAAAACGTAAAGTCATCTCCTTGCACTTTTTGGAGTTAAAAACCATATTGTTTGTAGCAGCCCAAGTGCTGATGTTGTCAAGTTCAGATTGCAAAATTAGGGAACTTAAGAACCACGACGAAGTTCACGACGACGACGTCTGTTGACCGGGAAAGGACTGGAACGAGTAGAAGTAGTAGAACTGTGATGTTCGTTCGCAACAAAGTTTTTTCGCAGAGGCGTCTTTTAAAACGATGCAAGATCTTATTTTATAAGCCGTACGTCTACTTTCATTGACGATGAAGAATTTTTAGTAATGTCTGACCTTTTCGAATGGAAAAATCTCTGCTTTCCGTACTCAGATTCTGAGATACTCAGGTTGAAAGTTGAATAACCTTCGTACGGAAAGCAGAGATTTTTCCATTCGAAAAGGTCTCACAACACTAAAAATTCTTCATCATCAATGAAAGTAGACGTACGGCTTATAAAATAAGATCTTGCATCGTCTTAAAAGACGCCTTTGCGAAAAAAAATTTGTTGCGAACGAACATCACAGTCTACATGTTTGTTTACATTCAGTGTCGTCGTCGTCGGCCTACCGATCGACTGCATCTTAAGTTTCCTTTTTCCCGCCGAAACTGACGTTCTCGTTCCAGTCCTTTCCCAGTCAACAGACGTCGTCGTCGTGAACTTCGTCGTGGTTCTTAAGTTCCCTATTGACACCCCGCGTGCCGCTGCAAATTCTGATATAGGGATGTCATCTACATACTTCCAGTATGAGCAACGCGGGGAGGCCAATTTCAAATCGTTAATCATTATTACAAAAAGTAAAGGACCCAGTTTGGTCCCTTGAGGGACACCGGCACGTACTGGGAGCCAATTGGAGACGGTCTGCCCTAGTTTGATACATTACCACCGATCTGTTAGGAAACTGCAGATCCATGGTATTATAGAGCGACGCACCCCTAAGTCAATTAGCTTCCTAATAACGATCGTATGGTCGATCCTGTCAAACGCCTTGCTAAAGTCAAGGACGCAGGCTCTCAAATAACCAGGATTATTAAGCTCAGAGAGCCAGCTGTGGATGAGATCGAGTAGACAGTAAGTGGTGGAAGATCCTTTAAGACTACCAAATTGGCGACTATCAATATGCTTGCCAACATCCTCGATCATCCAAGAGACCCCAAAATCTTCCAAGACCTTAGACAAAATAGGGGTAAAGAGATAGATCGGGTGTGGCTCTCACATAGAGGTTGTTTTACCTTCGGAATGGGTATGATGTTAGAACATTTCCACAGAATGGGGACGTCACCGGTAGAAAGCGATTTGTTAAAGATCTTTGTGACAGGCTCGGTCAGTTCGTAGGCAAATTCTTTAATTATCCGAGGCGGAATGCTGTCAGGCCCCATAGCCTTGTTTGTTTTTACATGCAAAAGCTTTTTGCAAACCACGTGGGAATGTATAATAGGCACTTCCTCAGCAGATGGTAAAAATGATGGGAGGCATGACGTATCAAGTAGTGGAATATCAGCAGCTACGGTTGCGAAGTACTGATTTAGAGACTCAGGAAGTTCGCCTTCCGACAGGGCAACGCCGTCGCGCTTCGAGTGTGAAGCAGGACTGGCTATAAGTTCTTCCCGACATCACATTGACAGTACGCCACCACTGGCGAAAATCATCTCTCCGTGTGTTTCGTACTTTTTCCTCATAAAATTTCCTCTTCCTTGCTTTAATCTCTGACTGCACCTTACATGTATAAAGGCGCCACAACTGAGCATCACCAGCGTGAAATGCTTGCTGGCGCTCCTTAATTAGCTGTTTTATACGTGCAGTAATCGAGGGTTTATCAGTTGGATGAAATCGAACAGTATTGGCCGGAAACAAATACATGCACTTCATCGCCGACTATGGAGCTACTACAAGCGTTATTTCCACAAGAAGCTTCAGTCACTATTGTAGATCTTCTTCCTCTAAAATTTACACACTGGATTAAAGAAAATGGCTTCTCCATTTTGTTTGGCTGCTTATATCGTATGACTGTTTGATCCTCTCTTTACATTGGTTTATTTCTTGGACTACACAATGCTCGACAGAGTGATAATAACAGTTGACCTTTATAATTGCCCAGAAGGTTGGTGTTAGCCCTGCAGTTGTTTTTTTGACAGTCGTTATGACTGCAAAACATTTATGTGTTACCCAAAAGTACAATATATGGCCTCAAAACTAGATTAGCATTAACAGGCCATTGCGCCTTTTTCTCAGTGGAGACGACCCATAAACACTTGAAAGAAAGCATGCGGAAATTACAGGATTAGGGCAATGAACCTTACATGAAATATTCCATGGGTCTGTAAAAACAAAACCACACACACAGTCTCGCTTGATGTCTGGTGAAAATGTCGCTTGTTTCCTTTGAAAGCCGTGTAACGACCCCGAAATATACAAGCATTTTGCATCGATTAGTATATAAAACAACCTAACAGGAAATTAGGAAGTATTTGTTGTGGTGCCACGTGACCGGTCGTGACAAGCACGACAAGTGTTGCGTTTCTTGGAATCAGTTGCTTGAGCGAGATTCGCAGAAATATTTGCATAATTTATACTGGATAATTGCATCGAAGAGCAAAGAATCTGACTGTTTTGTAGAGCAATGTGGTATGATGATGCCTATGATTACAGTTACGTCGTATATTCACCTTCTTATTCCGGTTCTGATGTGGAAGGAGATGACCCGCGAGGCGCTGTACATAAAGATCAAGAAGAAAGCAACAACGCGTCAACTACAAAAAACGCTTCGGGCACTCTTTACCAGTTACTTTCCCTTCAAGACTTGTGTTGTCGTGTAATTGCGTTGAAGTTACCGTTCGCGTACGTCGAGCATCGATTACCTCCAATTCCAGATGAACTGCAACTGAAGATTATCGGGTTTTCGTTTCCTGAAGATGAGCAGATGATAATGAAGTATGCACAGTTCAGCAGCCGTAGTAGTGTCGACGTTAGCTTGGCGGAATCAGCGCTTGGAAACGTGCAAACTCTGAACCAGATTGGTAGGTGTGGCTAGACCAATTAGAACAAACTGAGGTCCGAAGGGCCGAAAATAATTTCTTTTGAGAGCGAGCCTCCCCCCCTCTTCTCAGGGTCTGGATGACCGCCCCCCCCTCCCCTATCTGAAGGTCTGGATCCGCCATAATGTATAAATCTTCTACATTGGGTTGTAATTTATCAGACTTTATTTAAATAGCTTACAAATTTCTCAAATATTTCTCGTACCCAATTTGCCCTGTTGTTCACAAGTTCCGTCGTGACAAAAAAGGCCGTCAACAAAATCTGGATCGGATCGGACTGCGTATCGGATTGGACTCCGGATCGGATCGGATCGGTTTGAACTGGTATTTTCTCTTTTAGTGCAGAAGAATTATTTTGAGATGTTTTAATAATGACACAGGTGGCTCGGAATAAGAAATCCGAGTTCTCACAACAGGAGTCTAACCAATGACTAGTCAAGACACTAACCAGTAAGTGGTCGACTAGTAATCAGTTCGACTCGGATTTTTTCTTCCGAGCCGTCTGAGTCACTAATAAAACAAATCGTTTCTCATGTTTTACCAGGCTTAAAATCCACCATGAGCTTGAAAATCATCGCAAAGAATTATTTTCAACTGAACTGCACTCGCAAATTTTCTGTTGCATGACTTCATACGATTTTCAATAAGGAGGCTTGGTCACGTGACATCGCCCGAATCGAAGATGGCGGAGGGAGATGTAAGTATCTCTCGGAGGAGACGATTAAGAAAATCGGGGGAATGAGTAAGGTACGATAAGCGAATGAGCTCTTCAAATGCCACTTACATTATTTTTATTAACAAGAAGTCTTCTTTTTGTAGCCGAGTCCCTCGCAAACGTGTCGGCACTAGTCATAGGCTAGACTCGATCCTGTTGTGAGAACTCGGATCTCATATTCCGAGCCACCTGTGTCATTATTAAAAACAGCTTTTCTCAAAATAATTCTTCTGCACCAAAAGCAAAAATACCAGTCCGATCCGATCCTGCTTTTCTCGACGGCCTTTATTTAGCGAGAAATGTGCCTTTCCTTTGTCGCTTTCCTTTATCACTTCATGTAGTACAGTCTGGATATAACATGTCAAAATACTGGTCCTGGTCCTGTTGTCCCAAACGAAAAATGATACCGCTGGTAAATTTAAGAAGTGTAATGAATCACGGTATTATAGATGTAACTGGTAAATAAACATTTATGGTGTTTAGGGACGGACCACTAGAAAAGTTATGGGGTAGGTTGGGGGTGGGGAGTTTTCGAGGCATGAATTATGCAGTATAATGAATCCTTTGGGAGTGTAACAGTTGTACAGTACATTTGACAGATTTTGACACCCCTGTGAAAACCAAATTTTAACTGGTGCCAATGTTTTAATTTTGCTACAGGCTTCCGTTTGAGTGCCACAGTTAATCACAACAGGTGCAGTTATTATGTGACTGTCTACTTTGATCGTGGAAAGATAACATTCGCCCACTGTTCATGTGACCAGTCAATGAATTGGTGTGCGCATGTTATTGCAACATGTTTGGCAAGAATAAAGGACAAGAACACTGTCACAATTCGAATGCCAGTCTCTGATTCACTTCATTTACTGGACCAGGACCAGTTGTTAAAATTGGCACATTACCTTCTATATAAACACCAGAATGAAGGTATTATAGAAACTGCACAACAACTGCTTGATAAGCTGTTGTCAAAAGAACAGAAAGAGCAAGAGGAAGACATTAATGCCATTGCAGGGGCACCAGATTCTACTGCTGGTCCTGGTAAGACCGTCTATCTTTATAATCGTTATCAGCGACATTGCTATATCAGAACTAGACGTTTGGAAATACTATTAATTTTTAGATGGTCTATAATTGAATTAATATTTGTTTGCTATGGGTGAAACTTTCAGAAAACCTATGCAAAGGAATCCGGGTTCTGAAATCTGTGAAATTTTTGCTTTTGGAATCCGAACTCTTAGGCTTTGGAATCTGGAATCCAAGTTCCACTGACAAAGAATCCGGAATCCTTAGCTTTGGCTCAAGAATTCAAAATTGTCTTGGATTCTCTTTCATGGGTGACGATTGCATTTTTTTAAGGGATGGTAAATAAAACCCTTGGGTTATCCTTTTTATTTTTTTAGAGGGTTGTTCCTTGATCATTGCTTGGAAAGGATTCGGTTAGGTCTGTGAAGATCGCCATTATTTTAACTTCTTTTCCATTTGGTGGGGATTTCTGATTTCCAGTGGACTTGTAGTTCTTCCCATTTCCGGCTGTTTTCTCTGCAGTTGAACTGCAAGTAAATGCAGCGTTGAGAAAAGGGTGATAGTTTTCTCTGACGAAAGCGATTTTGGGATGGTAAGTGTGTGCTCAAGCAGGTCATCTGTCTTTTTTCCCCTGCTTGGAGAAACAATCTTTATTTAAGACCATTAACATATTGCCTATCAGTGAATGACATTTTGAAAGAGGAAACAAAGGGAAAGCCTGAGTTTTTCCTAAGTGTTTTTAACAAGTTCAACTGCAGTTCAGTGGATTATATATAGTCCCTGGGGAAGGGGTACTCAAAAAAGTTTTAGACAGGGAGGCTCCGCCCCGAGGACCGCAATTATATACCATTTTTAACAGAAAAAGTACTCCTTTCGTATACCCTCTATTGACAAGTGTCACCCCCTTTAACAGCTATAAGTGCTCTGTCTTTTAAATATGGATGACTCACAAAACAAGAAAGTTTTCTCGACTTTTTTACAGCCATAAAATGCATCTGTTACCCCGGCCTTTTGGGCCTTTTTACAGACCAAACTGAGAGAATTCCCTACCCTTTCATATACTTCAACTAGTAAAATCCCTACCCATTCATATACCTGGAGCCTGAAAAAGGTACCTCTTTCGGTTGGAGCCTCACCGTATAGGCCATTATAGGGAGTACCACCTCCCCGAGATAATCTTATGGTACAGTATATATGTTTCCCAGTATCCGGGCACTTCAGTTTAACATTGCAATAACTTTCCTTTGTTAGTCGCAAGAGCTCTGAAATTTGGCCCAGAGAAAATCTATTTAGACCTTAATATGACAAAAGACAGTTTAACCTTTTTGCCTTTGTTTCCATCGCGAAATTAATATTTTTGCAGAGCTCCTATGTTGCCCAGTATCCGGACACAACAATAACAACGTAATTGTACATACATTTCGACAGGCAAGAGACTTATAAGCTTCTCTTGCACTTGCAAAGTAGTCTGGCAATCAATTCCAAAAATATAACCTAGCATCGTGAAATAAAACATAGCAAATGACTAGGGTATGGTGGGGAACGCGAGCGGTTGTTAAATGGCATAATACTTACTTCCTTGTCTAGGAACTTTTTCACTGATTTAAGGAAGGCATCCGTGGACATGCCGAAGCCGCGGTTTGCTGGCTCAATTAGCCAATCTGCAAACGACCTTTTTTTCTTCATTTTTTATTTTAAAAAAAGCTTGGGGAAGGGACCTCAATGCGACGGTCAAAGGTCACACTCCTATTCAGTCTGACCTGCAGTGTTGATTTCTTCATGCTCAGTCCCCACAGACCCTACAATAAGCCTGCTTTTCTAGCACTAATTCCTCCTTCTTTCATATCTCTCAATCCCTTTGTGACATTTTTCAGACCGTTGCAACCCCATTCTAGCAGTCACAACTGGGGAACTAGTATGAGAATTCCAGGTTCAACTCCGACGCTTTCGATTAAAAATACAAAATGCCGGGAGAAAATGCAGTCACGCGAAACAAGCGGCGCACACGAAATCAAGTCGCCTCCGAATGCGTGAAGAAAATTTCCGTACGGTGTTGAGTAGAATTACATTTTACGACTATATCATATATCCTAAGCTTTAATTATAGTTATATATATGAAATAAATCTTATCCGGATAATGTACACAGCTAATTCATCGATTCTGTACAACAAAGAAAAAACTGTCCGGATACTGGGCACCTGACATCAATACTTAGTGAATGTTTCTGGGCTCCGTTATTCCAAACAAATTAAGTATCTTCACTTTAAATATAAAACCGTTTATTTGAAAATATCACATATTACGTACCCTTTTCTAAGCAGCACTGATTTTACTGCGCGGTAAACAGCGTAAATATTAGCCATGAAATGGTTATTCACCTGAAGAGAACGGCGTCTTCTGCTCCTGTTTCGCAAGCTTTCGACTCGCCAAGACCTTCATCTTAAAGCTGAAATGCTCAGCTTTCATTCGAAATACTTCGTTTACCGATAGCTGAAAAGGGAGCCTCAAAAATTGAGTTTTTGTTTTAAGTTTCCGGATACTGGTACCGTGCGGATACTGAGCAACATACTGTGTACATTAGATCATTGATGTTTGATCAATGGTTAACTATAATTGAACCAGTTCGTAAGCTTAAAAAGCTTTTTATCAAATTCCCCTTGGATGGCTCTCTTGTTAATCTCTTGTTAATCTTCCTCCGGGACTCTCTTCTTCCCCTTCTATGTGGATTTTTTTAGCAGGAATGGTTCATTTCGACGGAAACAGGGGAACCCAACGAGAATATAGTTCAAAACCACTTAAACATAGCATTGTTTAACGTATTATAGTATTAAACGGTAAATATAGGCATATTTTTATCCCCTAAAAATTTTTGATCTGTTCGGATTTCCTTGCTGAAAGTTTAGTGATGCGAAAATTATAGGGATCAAAACTTACCTTTTCGAAAATTTCAGTTAGAAAAAAGGCTCCCGAAAATTCTAGGTGACCTTTTTAGAGCACAAATCCGTTAGAAATGGGCAATTATACCATTTTTTAGATGTTCGAAAATCCTAGGAGAGGCAGGCAAGCAAGAAACTTTACAACAAATGTTCCGAAAATTCGAGATCTCAAATCGTCTTCCGAACAGATATTAGTCCGAAAATTGACGTTGGGTGCATGCCCCTGCGGAAAGACCAACTGCATCCCAAACTGGTTCCTTTCTGTTAGCAAGTAAATCTTAAATGTGGAAACACAATTCATTTATACATGTTAATGTGTATTGCTGTTTTTTATATTATTAGGACTTGATGAGGAGGCTCACTGGTTTGTCTGCAAAAGCGGATTCCAATCCAGGTGTAAAAACTTGATGCATGGATGCGATCACGATCCGGGCTTTTTTAATTTCATCGATCGGGATAGTGACAGGAAGGGCTTTGTTAAAGAGGTGTGGGGAAGAAACTGCTTTCATCAGGCGCTTGTCAAAGGTAAATTATTTGTACATCAATATGATTTATGTATTGTGTGGTCCAGAATATAATTTCAGCTTCAACAACAGCTGAGACCGATGTTTGGCGAGAAGGTTCATGGATCTGACACGAGCTAATGAATGTTACCGTATAATAATCCAGCATGGCCATTGGTGAGAGGGTCAATCGACTCTAGCGGAAGCTGTACAGGAATGATCCCGTGGAGGAACAACGATAATTCAAAAAATGATAAATATATGAATTTCATAGCAGAGCTTCGCGCACGAGCGTAGCCCCATAGCTACGAAAATTTGGTTATCTATTCATCCGAGAAAATCTGGTAGTCACGTGACCGCACGACCGTCAGTCCGTCGGCACCACGAGGAAACCAATTTGAAAAGTCACACTTTCTAGCCGGTGTGGGAGCCTGCAGATTGATCTTGCACATCCATGTTATGGTCAATTGACAGCTGTCAAAACAGGGTATCTGCTGACCAGTATCACATGACCGTATCGCGAGCTCAGGTGTCAACCCATAGAGATCACGTGTTTTTACCGCTGACCAGTCACTAGTTTTCAACTGATCACAGTTCCATTTTTTTATGGGACTTGTTGGCCAACAATGTTGCGTCCGTTTGCACGAGGCTTAGCTAATTGAGCTAGCAAGCCAATCCGGGAGCTGGTTATTGAATTGGTTCATAATATACCTGCCAAAGATGAAGATTAAATGCTAAATATATAAGAATTTCATATTGGAACTGCAGGATGAAAAAATAAGTGCAGAGAAGATCATCAGAGTGAATACGCAACTTATGCACCTGCGAAAAGAAGGCATAAAATAATTCAGGCTTGTCGGTTAAATTACGAGCCAATTCAATGATCAGCTCCCGGTTGGCTTGCTAGCTCAATTAGTTAAGCCAAAATATGCTTCATAAACAAAGATGATGACGTCTGCTAGCACGTAACATCTCCGCTCATTCAAACATTTAACTTATTATTCACAGTCTGTTACGCGGGTAATCTTTTAGAGGACGGGTAGCTTGCAAACTAAACTGAGCGCAGGGTTGTCGGAACAGCACCAAGAAGATTTATTCCAAAAATAAACGTAGTTTCCACGAAGTAAAACTCCACAACAGCACGTAACTCGTTAAACTTTCATGGCCCCCGCCAACTTCAATTAACCTGATAAACTGACACGGCCTCCGCCAGCTTGAATAAACAATGCTTTCGTCACACTTGACTAAACACGACTAACGTCAAACTCTCTCGCTTGGAAAATTAGTTAAAATTTGACTCGGACTAGCCTACTTATATACTTTCACAATAACATTCTAGAACTTTCCAAATAGTCTAATTATAGAAAGAGTACAAAATATACCGCTTTTAGAAACGCTTACACGAGATCCTAAAATAAACAAACTATGAACTCTCGCAAAGCTTCTAGAAAGTCACGCTAGTCACGCAATACAATTTTTCGTAACATAACCCCCTTTCAGAAGAAATTTCCTAAAATTCCAATACAACAGAAAAATTGTTAGCTAACATATAACAGGGGTACTCCTGTGTCTCTCAGGTTACTCTTCTACTCGACTAAGATAATCCGCTCCAACATTCTCCGATCCTTTGATGGCTTCCACCTTGAAATTGTTACTTTGTAGAAACATGGCCCATCGAGTTAGTCGTGCGTTGGTATATTTGGCGCTGTCTATGTACTTCAGCGGCTCGTGGTCTGTCTGCAGCACAAAAGGTACACCGTACAAACGTTAGGCATTCTTTCTCGATTGTGGAATAGATACGCTCAGCACTTGACAATTTCTTGCTTGCATAACAAACCGGGAATAATTTCTCATCGTTTCTTTGCATCAATACTGCACCAATTCCATTGTTGGAAGCGTCCATCCGTGAGAAATAGGTTTTAGCTGGATCGGGGAGACGTAGAATAGGTTCACTTGTTAGGTAAGACTTGATTGTTT